TAAGAGTGCTGTGCGTCTGGTTATGTCTCATATAAACTAGCCTGTGACCTCCAAAGCCTTTGCTAGTTACGGTTACTATGACAGGGAAAAGACCAACATTGACTTCTCAAATTCTCAATTTGCCCCTGCCTTCACTTACACCTCTATTTATTCTCATTTAAGTACTATACTTCTCACATGTTTTTGGAGCATTGTTTAGAGTTTCCTTGGTTCAGAAATCAACTTAAGCAGGTTCGATTTTTTGGCTTTTCTCTTCTCTCTTTACTCCATCCCATTTCCTTCTTATCATAGAAATTTGATAGCTACTGGAGGCAAGTAAGTTGATAACAATTTAATAATAATAATAATAGTAGAATCTCTCAAACCAATCATATTTTACCTAAAACATTTTAATAACCAAATATTAGCGTTCATCAATTTTTGGTTTACAACAAATTACAAGTTTTTCTTCAATTTAACATTATTTTATAACAAAAAAATAAATTAACCAAGGAAAAAGTTTATCTGGACCAAAAAAAAAAAAAAAAGAAGAAAAAACACCATAGAAAGAGTTTGTTATAATGCCATCTCTTTCATTTTGTGTTGTAGGTATTTTCCAGCATCAATGGAGACCATGATCATGGGCTTTATCTTCCTTCCAATGTTGTTGATGCAATGCTTCATGGCTGCCTTAGCCATGTCTCAAACAAACTTGACCACAGACCAATATGCTCTTCTTCAATTCAAAGCTTACGTCACTTCTGATCCTTTGAATATCATGTCCTCCAATTGGTCTTCTTCTGCTACTTCAATCTGTAATTGGGTTGGTGTTTCCTGTGGTGCTTTTCATAGTAGAGTCACAGCCTTGGATCTTCCAAACATGAATCTTACTGGCAGCCTCCCTCCTCACTTGGGAAACCTCTCATTTCTTGTTTCTATCAACTTGAGTGGAAACAGCTTCAATGGCCGTTTGCCTCCAGAATTAGGGAAGCTACAGCGTTTAAAGTTCATGGACTTGAGCTTCAATTTTCTCAACGGAAGCATCCCGGATGAGATTTGGTTGCTTTCAAAGTTGGAGATTTTTAAATTAGGAAGCAACCACCTTACAGGAACTATATCAAGAAATATTGGAAGCTTAACTAAGCTAAGAAGAATATACATTGGACATACAAAAATAGGAGGTATGATTTCAAATTTTTCTAATTTTTTGTCTTTTCTTTGATAGTGTATGTTGAAAGTTAAGCAGGGATTCATCATTTTTCAATTAAACTCTAAATTCCCAATGTTTTTGTAGGGGAAATACCAGAGGAGATAGGTAATCTGCATAATTTGGAGAAACTTTCAGTAGAAAATGCAAGTCTATCAGGTCTAATTCCACCAAATATCTTCAATATCTCTTCCTTAAGAGGGATTTATCTCTACACAAATAACCTTTCTGGTACCCTTCCCGTTGACTTGTGCTACCATCTGCCAAATCTTGAGGAGCTTGATTTGAGTGAGAATCAATTAAATGGCTCAATTCCCTCAAGTATAAGTAGATGCAAGAAGCTTCAGCAGTTGGATCTATACACTAATAGATTCACCGGATGCATCCCAAGAAGCATTGGGAACTTGTCCACACTTACTGAAATATATCTCTTTAACAATGACTTTGAAGGTGAGATTATTGAATTTGTTTTATTTTCATTTATAATACATGAGATTAATAATTTTTGAGTCATTGCACTTTACTCTCAA